ATCCATATAAACAAAATTTTGCACATTTGAAAACATTAAATTTCCATTCCACAACCAAAATATTTTTTAAAAAAAATTCCATCAGGAAAATATATCTATATATCGTCGGCTGTTGCTAAAAAAAAAAAAAACTTATAAATCTGAGTCAAGGAAACCTATGAATATAGATTTCTTGAACTCAGATTTGGGTTCCACCGAACCTAGCAATTTGGGTTCAATGGAACCTAGATCTAGGTTCCAACAAACCCATCTAGGTTCCAACAAACCCAAGACCTCTGTTCGCATAGAGAGGAAGAAACGGGAAGAGAGAGAAAGGAAGGAGGGGGAAGAGAGGGAGAGGGAGGAGAAAGATGCAAAGGTGATGGGCTGTAGGAGGAAGAAGAAGAAGAAGAAAAGGATGAAGGAGGCAAGGAAGACATGCATTGGAAAAGGAAGGAAGAGAGGAACCAGAGATGGGAAGAAGATGAATAGGGAAAATGGGTAGATAACAAATGAAGAAAATGAGTGGATGATAATAATTCTAATTGATAGTAAAAAATTAAGGTTTGCTTATATGGCCACTCATCATATGCCATGTCATTAATAACTTTTTAAGTTGATTTTAAAATGGGGTCTGCATGGTTTGTGAGCTGTTCACATATAAAATCAGTGTATAGGTGGCACTGAGGTGTAATTGGGAAATGGAGGGTAACATGAGGACGTTAATATTTTCCTCATTTACTCAAATTATTTAAGGTTAAGGACAAATATTCATACATTGTAAGGTGGAGGGCATTTTGCCTCAAGTTCAAAAAGTTGAACGGCTATCTATTGGGTTTTGCCATCATATGGCGTCATGGCTCTTTCCTTGAATCTCTCCTCAAACTTCTATTTCTATTCCAAATATATTTTTAATAAATTAAATTCACATTATATTAAATAGAATACTTGCATTGTAAGCAAAGGAAAAAATGAGAAGAGAAATACACAAAAATTTGAGAAGGGGATGACAAGCCTGGCCTATTTAATATTACGACCTAATAAAATCCAAAATACATACATTTAACTCATAACCATGCACCATGCAAACTAACTTTTGCATAAAAAATTAAATTTACCTTCTCCATTAACCTCCACCATGTTTTCCTCATCATAACTTAATTTTCTACAACTAGAAAATTATATATGTTATTTACTGGTGAGAAAATCAAACTACATGAATTGAGCTTTCATTAGATAAAAAGCCAAGGAAATAGGTAGAAGTGGTCTCTTCAACGCCGGAAAGCTCGTAGTCCTCCTCTTAGCAGTGAGGAGTGCTAATTGCTAACGTAAGACGGGTTTGTGGCTGTAGCAATATCTAGGTGAAGAGGTTTGATTTTGGAGGCAGGACTAGGGTTTAAAAAGGTTTGGAATGTGGAGATTTGAGGATGGTGGGGCGAAAAACCATCGGCATTGGAAGAGACGGTACAAGATGAGAGAGGGCAGAGTTTTTTTTTCCATCCATGTGTTTTTCTTCTCTCTTTTCTCTCTTGGTTTTTTTTTTTTTTTATTATTATTATTAGAATCAGTTGTGCTATTGAGACAACCTTTTTATCCCATTTTTTTATACAACTTTCATATAGCATTAAATGAGTGGATGCATTCAATATCACAGCTCCCACATAAATTTAAAAAACCAATCATTTTAATGACACGTCAAATTGTACAAAAAGATGGGATAAAATAGTTGTCCCAAGAGCATTTCCCTATTAGAATTAGACACATCATTAGGTGGCTCCAAAAATGCCAACAAATCATTAAAATAGATGCCAGCTAAGTAAACATAAACGGTGGAATACCGGTTCCATCACAAAAGGGCTAATTTACCATTATTCAAAGAGTTTGAGGGTTCAAAGCGTATATTTTTTGTTCAAGGCTGATTTGCCACCGAATAAAGAGTATAGGGGCTCATTTACCCATCTGGCCAAAAAAAAGGCAAAACGATAAGTTAAGCCCCTGAACTAAGCCCAGAATGGCTATTATACCCCTAGACTTTAATTGATGCATGTAAGCCCTTAAACTCTGGGATCAAAGCAATTAAGCCCTTATTCTTATGCCAACTTAACTGCCGTTTGGGACACACCAGCTTGGCTGCTTGGATGGCAAAATATTGCCATGTCATGCTTATATGACAAGAGTTTGACATTTGAGTGGGATTTTTGAGTTATTTGATTATTTAATTTTTTGATTTAAATAAAATCTAAATAAAATAAAGTCATATATTTGGGTACAAATATTATTTAAATAAAGTCTTAAATTTAAATTTAATAAACATAGCAATAGATATTAAAAAAATTATGTGATTTATTATGATTTAATTTTAAATTAGTTGATACTAATATAATTTTTAAAATTTTAAAGTTTAGTATAAAAAATAGTATCACTTAAAATGACAAATTTATAATTATGTGATATATGATATTAAATAAATAGAATAAGAAAAAATACATATTAGTTTTAACTTTTAAAATAAATAAAAGTTTCAAATTTAAAACAAATACCTCATTTTATCTAATTAAAACTTAATTTAAAATTTAAAAATTTATCTTATTAAATATTAATATTTAGATTTAAAAAGCAATTTCATTATAATATACAATTAATTTTCAAATTAAGGTACCAACATTTAATAAGATAAGTTTTTAAATTTTGTATTGAAATTTTAGTTTCTAAATATAAATTGAGATTCTAAATTTCTTTTAAAAATCAGAAGTGATATACACTAATCTTATATAATAAATATTAAATAAATATATATAGTATTATAAATAAATTTTTAAATAAAAA